AACATAAACTCTTAGATATTTTAACGTAAAACCTCTTTAGGAAAAAGGCCTGATGAGAAAGTTACCAAGGTTGTAAAAAACTGAAGGTTGTAGTATTTAATCAATTTCTAAAGTTGTTTGCAAATTTAATGAGTCGTGGGTTATGGTTTTTGAGCTGGTTTTTGAATGTGAAGTTGCTCATTTGAGCTTGGAAAACAGCAGAGATACATAATAAGCCCCAGATTTTATCTAACAACCAGGTAGTTTTAGCCAGGCTCTCCCTGTTCATCATTTACCAGATTATCTGTCCCGCTGTGTCTTTGTTAATGTCAAAGTAATAAATATATTTATAATACCTGTGAATGACATCAAGCTTCGTGTTATGCTCCAGAAAACTGCAAACATCGGGATTAATATGAACAGTGCAATAAACGTGAAATATGTGCAGTGGGCCATCTGAGTGGTGGAACCACAGGTGGAGTGCTGTGCTGACAGCAATTGTAGGGCCGTAACAGAACCTGTAACCAGGTGGACAGACAATAGTGGAACACACAAATTACTGAAGTTTTTATTTATTTTTTTTTATTTTTTACTTTTTACAATATCCCCTTCAGTTCAACCTTATAAGTGGAGACACATTGTTGATGTTACCATGATAAAATAACTTGGAATTAAATAAGTATTGGCAAAGCTCAATATAATTTATAAGGTGGCGGAGGGTTGTCAAAAGCTGCTGAAAGTAACTAGTAGTTACTTTCCAAATCAAGTAATCAGTAATCTAAGTTATTTTTTCAAGGAGTGATCAGTAACCTGATCAGTAACCTGATGAAAGTTACTTTTTCAATGTAACTACCTAACTGTAGGTACATACACATTTATGTGTGTACATATGACTGTGTGCAGGTCCAGGAGCCGATCCAGGTCTTCTCGGAGTCACTCTGGCTCCAGATCCAGATCCCACTCAAATTCTCCTACAAAGCGCCGTCGTGGTCCAAAATCCCGGAGCACTTCTCCTTCGTGAGTTCCCTGGCTGTCATCACTTCTCTTCACAGTATGCGCTACAGAATGATGCAGATACCAGTCTATGCTTCTCACTGCAGGTCCACTGCAGGGCTGGGCAGCTCGTCATCTAAAATGTCTACAGACACCAGACTAGGAGAAGAGAATAAGGGCCACCAGTTGTTATTAAAGATGGGTATGCTTATTCATTTCTGTTTACTACAAAAGACAGTTCTGTTTGTACAAAAAAATATTTACATTTTTCTACCAGTACAGCTTACAGCAGGCAGCTTTTCTCTCCTGGAACCTCTAACAGATTTTGTTCTGTGGTATTTTGGCCCCAGGTTGGAGCGGTTCTGGTGGCCTTGGGGTCAAAGAACAAGGTATCCAGGACCCTATCAAAGGGGGAGATGTTAGGGATAAGTGGGACCAGTACAAAGGCGTTGGAGTGTCTTTAGATGATCCATATGAGAACTACAGAAGGAATAAAAGCTACAACTTTGTTGCCCGGATGAAAGCTAGGGAGGAAGGTAGTAGACTGTTATTTGTTACAGAACTGTAACAGATGACTTTGTATTGCTACGCCTACATTCTTAACTGAAATATAGCTAGATTTGAAATAAATTCTTTAACAATGCCTTTTGTTTTTCTTCCCTGTGTCAGTCAATCGGGAAGCTCAGGAGCCTCCATCTACTGACTGAGGCCCTTGGAATTCTGTTTCACTTGGATCTGAAGGCTGAGCTTTACTGTCCAGGATGCTTTCACCTCTTGTAAAGATTTCTCATTGACTAGAAAGAGTGACAGACATCACATTTGTTCTATTTTAGTGTTAATGTATCTGCATGAACTTCTTTCTTGTTCTTTTCTGGTGTGTTAGACAGAAAGGTTAACTCTAAAGTAACAATGATTGCATGTTCAAGTTTTCTCTTAATACAAAAATCCCAGGTGTAATAAACCAGATCATTAAAACCTTTGTCTTAGTTCCACAGAAGCTTGTCTAAAATGTGTTCTGTATGTGTCCTTTAGTAGCTGTTTCATTTAAATTTGCAAAAGTTGTATGATGACACAAATCAATAAATCCATATTTTGTGTTTCAGAAATCAATTTCTATTTATCAGCAGCAGGGTTCTAATGGTGGAAAGGCACAAAGCCATTCCACTCTTTCCACAATAAATATTAATAAAACTGCCTCTGAATCTATTTTTTCAGTCATTTAGAATACTTCGAAGACCTCCTCAATCCCACCAACATGCCTTCCATTGAGGAAGCTGAGCCTGGGGACTCTGGGTTTGTCTCTCCAATCTCTGGGGATGGTCACCGAGATGGTTAAAACGCTCTATGGTGGCAGGGCCCCGGGGGTGGATGAGATCAGCCTGGAGTTTCTTAAGGCTCTGGATGCTGTAGGGTTGTGTTGGCTGACGCGACTGCAATATCGCATGGACATTGGGGGCAGTTCCCCTGGATTGGCAGACTGGGGTGGTGATCCCCCTGTTCAAAAATGGGGACCGGAGAGTGTGCTCCAATTACAGGGGGGTCACACTCTTAAGAAGTGGTCCCCAAACTACGGCCCGCGGGCCGGATCCGGCCTGCCTCCATTTGGTCCGGCCCCCTCAACAATACCAGAGAGCATCCAGGGTTTTTTTTCCATTTACCATATTTTCCGGATTATAAGCCGTTTATATGTGGATTTTTCTTCAACCACCAGGGGGCTCTTTAGCAGGAAGTGAATCATTGGAAGTCTCTGTTACTTGCGCACCAACATTGAGACACAAGCAGCAAAATGAGTAAGAAACAGATCGGATGTCTTTGGAAAGTTTCTTTGCAAAGGGGAAAAGGCCCAGAGAAGAGACAGGAGGATGGATTTATCCCGGACCGGTAGGTGAGTCAAACATTACAAGCCGCTCTGTGTAACATGCGGCGACCGGCTGCTAATGAGGCAATGAAGCTTCAAACTACTTCGCTACGTAGAGACCAAGCAGGCTGTGGATATAAGCAACACTTCGGGTGTCATTGTGTCTCATCACTCCCAGATGGGACCGTCTCGGTGCAGAGAAACAAGCTCAGGGCTCCGTTAGTCGTTATCGTGAGTTAAAATTTTCACGAAAGTAAAATGTTCATTTTCGTGGCGCATCTGTTATTTTGAAGGGATATATAAACGTTACCATAGCGACCAGAGTCAGAGTGTTTGGGCGAGAGGGGATGAGTAGAGCTTGTGAGTCTTAAGTCTGGTTTAGACGGAAAGATTTATGAACTGTCGGCCAATTCTCCAAACCTCTGTGACCACGGAGCTAATAAAAGTACGATCAGTTCGTGTTCAGCCACACGGCAGGAACTGATTCCAGTCACGAACATCCCGATTCCAGAGGATAATCCAGTAAAACCCCCAACATAGCGGGAGTTTAGAATAACCAAACACAGATGACGATGTAGAAACAATAGTGATAGTTTGTGGACTCATTTTAAGAGATAAAAGACGTAATAAAAAGAATAAAAAGAAACGGCGGTGGATAAAAGACGACGGGTGCAGCCGCTCTATTTGCTGCACTATGATTTGGAGGTGACTGAACATTTTTAACTGAACAAACATAATAATAACCTTTAGATTTAATAATAAACATTTCCACATATTATCTCTGATATCCACCGGGCTCTCAGTTGCGCGATATGTCAGCTGTTTGGGATTCCCCTCTGT